AAAACATATCGCACTTTGCTGTTAGCTGTTCTACCACAGAAATGCCATCTAAGTCCCAAACATTCTGTGTGACGAAAATCAAAACAGTCAATCGATGAACTATTATATCATTCGAGGTAAAGGTGAGATGTGTTTTGCTAGTGTCATTTTCAAGAATTTCACCAATCAATACCCTACGCAAAGTCCTACATACATATAGGGCTATAGTGAAGATTGAAGTCGAAAAGCTGAAATGAGCTTGAGTTGAGATGCCTGAGGCCAAACAATATTAGTGCCAATAATCTAAGTAACGGCAATTTTTCTCGCTCTAAAAAATTATTCCAAACTTTTGTAAATGTGATACAACAAGTAGGCGTATAAGCAAGATTTTCGATGTATTCAAGCAGTCGCATTGTTCAGAAGCGTATAGAGACGCGTTTGCATCACAAAAAGGGCGAAGTTTTTTTCGTCGGTTTATGTATGTAAAATAATCATAATATGTTTCGCATTTGTAAACATAACGTAAGCATGATGTTTGTAGGTAAAAGTGAAAACCTGCACGGGTATCCAAACTAGACATCCTAGTATGATTGCCTAACCTATCGTATGAATCAACAATAAAATTGAACGTCATATCGTGCAGTACCAACGATAATTGTCTGGCACATCAGAAAAAAACTATATTGAATGATAGGCCCTCCTCTGGTGGGAAGCAAGTTTGACAAAACGAAAAGCGCTCTTACCCGATACGATGGAAGTAAAACGACTTATGGTGTGTTGACGTCTTTTAATCCTTCGCGTGAATTTCCAGCTCCATGATATTGAAAAGTCCATTTTATACCAGCACTAACGCTTGCGGGCTCACAGTTTTGTTGGTATTATAGTAACGTGCACTTAAGCAGGAAAATGCAGAAATGAGAATATTTGTAAAGAGCGGTAATTCATGGTGCTACATGAAATTTTGTCTCCCTACATTTTCTTTTTCAAGAAGTAATAGTTGTTTAGTATGCGATCCCTGCCAAGTCGATGACAGGATCGGTGTTGACTAAGCATTGGGCTCGCAAAACGGATCTCCTCAATAAAGCGGTTGTCGACAGTCTTGGTATAAGTAAAGGTAAAATTTAGCATACAGAGTGTCCTGAAAATGTGCACACTGTTTGATCTTTGATAACTCTCCTGCAGTAGTTCGCACAATTTTAGGTACCATTTTGTAGAGCCTTCAACTTGCAATTAGATTTAAGCATGGAGCGATTCACATAGCTCTTCATTGCTGTATGATTACGGTAAGGACTTCAGTATACAGATTCAGAGTGAAATAGGTCGTCTAGCAT